GTGTGTGTGTGTGTGTGTGTGTGTGTGTTTGTATACCTAAAATGTGCGAACAAGTCTTTTCAAATCGATTGTAGCTAGCCCCATCTCCTTTACAAGTAGAGAGGTTTGATTCTTGATTAGTCACGAAGCCGATTCACTGCACTGCTAGAAACCAAGTATAATACGCAGGATGCGTGTTCTATTCGCACACACACGTATAGGTACACATCACTGCAACACACATACACTACACAATCACAGAATATTACACAAAACGCGGCAATGCGACACATATACTAGCCCTCGAGAACTGATACCACACACACTCTCTCTCTATATCTTAGAACATTTATTTACGCAAATACTTACGTACAAACACACACACGCATACGCACACAACAAAACACAATACACACACGCACCATACCACACGTATACATATACACACAGCAAAAAAACACATACAAATCATACATATATATATATATATACCAAACCACACATACATATACACATATCAAAACACACATACACTGAAAGCCATATACACACTCACACCAAACCACACATACACATACACAAACACACATACGCGTACCTCTAAACACGCATGCACACACATCGAAACACACATACGCCCACACCAAAACACACACACGCGCACACACCTCCCGTCCAACAAACGTCTCTCTCTGGTTAGCATGGCGTATTCTTTGCGCATCTTATCCTCGGCCACGGCAAATATCGCGCGCTCATTCTCCACTTTGCCCTTGATTAGCTCCGAGTCTAATAACAGATCTCGGAGGAACTCACCCAGCGTCGGACTACTGCTGAATATGGTACTATCCGTGCGTGTATATAGTTCTTGCGTGAGTCTACCAAGGCTCCCCAGGCCTAACTGAGCATTGGCGTCTTTTTGCAGGGCTAGGCCAGACTCCTCTGACATCCATAATTCAACCTACAAGTGGGGCGGAAGAAACGTTGAGTGTACGAACATATATCTGTACGATAACAAATGGATATAAGTGTCGACACGTAAAAAACATAGCCAAAGGTCTCATGAATATATAAATAGATGAATAAATACCGTATACCAGTACATGCAGAAAAAGACGCACGTGTGTGTATTGGCGTATATGTACCACAAACTCAACCTAGACTTATCCGTGGATGTCTGTTTGACGATCAACTGTATGACTATCAACAATCACAAATGAATATAACAAGATGTATGAATGGCCGAAGTGATATATATATAAACTAATATATATATGTGTG